GGTTGCTAATTAAAAATTAAGCTTTCTAAACAAAAAGATTAACCTAGGCCCAATGTATTTCTCAAAATATAAAGATACAAGTTAACCCTTGGACAGTATGAGCTAAGCACTGTTCAAAGTACTTCCTTCAAAAATAAAATCTGGTATTGGAAATAACTGCTAGACTTTGACTTTTTTCCTGGGGTATTATAGTGGTATGTTTTGATCACCAGAGCTAGTTATCTTAATTTAAAGTGGGGTGATTCCTATCACATGGAATGATCATGAAGGTTAAATGAAAGATATGTAAGATGACTTTTTAAATATTTAAAGTTTAAATATGAAGCACATTTAAATTGTTTCCTCTGACTTCACAGAGCTTATCAAATGTGTGAGATTGATCTCTTGTAACCAAGTCAAAACAAGTTTTTAAATCAAACACCATTTTTGACGTCTGGAATGAGGCTTATTTGTGCATGGATTTCCTAAAATAAGATTTATGGGATTATAAAAGAAACCAGTTATATTGAAATACAGTTATTTCAGTATTATACGTTTAAACATATTAAGTAGTAAGATTTAGCAGTGAGTTTAATAACTACCATAATTTCAGAGCAGTGACAACTGAAGGAGGCAGCATTTCAAGTTATCTGTAACTGCCATGGTGCATGTGAAAATAGCTGCCATTTCTACTGGGGACAAAATCACCACACCATTGTCACTGCTTGGTTTGTCGTGTGCATTCATAATAGAGAGAGTTAACTTTCAGTTAGAGGTTAGTGAAAAATAAAGATAGACCTTTTTTTTCCCATCCAATCATTCCATTGAATTCTATTCATGGATCCCCAAGGTTAAGAACCCCTGTTCTAGAAGGCTATTTTAGAGTCTTCGAGTCTTATTCTGTTAGGAAAAAAAAAATCCAGGAAATTATGGGACAAAAGAAGTGATTTCAATGTATGTTTTGTTGGAACAGTAAAATGATACCTTGTCTCTTGATTTCAGGTTGCATTCACAGGAACCACTTTTATTGGCTACGTAGGATTATGGACTGGTCAGAGTCCACACAAGTTTACAGTTTCTGGTGATGAACGAGGTAATCAAACTCCTGAGCGTCTCCCACCCTATCCCTGTTCAGTTCTAGCCAGGTATTTCCTTTGCTCAACAGAATATGTGGGATTACATCTACCACAAGATAGGGACCTTCATCCTAGTGACAGGAGAGGGACGGTAGGCTTGGAAGCAATGAAGATGATCTCAGGGAGTGGTAAGCACTACAAAAAAAGCAGAACAGGAGAACAGGGAGAGTGCAGGACAGCCAGGGGAGGCCCCTCCAGGGGATCCCCAGCCAGTTCTACAGAAGCTGCTACCCTCGCCTTCCGCCTTCCTGTAAATCTCTCTCTCCCCAGCACTAGAACGATCACGTGGTCACCCTGTTTAAAACCCACTGTAACTCAGGAAGACACATGATTTCATTTACATGTGGAATCTAAAACATTGAACTTACAGAAGAGAGGAGAATGGTGGTTACCAGAGGTTTAAGAAGTAGGGATGGGGAAAGGAGAAATGCTTGTCAAAGGGTACAGAGTCTTACCCAAGAGGAATAAATTCTGGTGGTCTGGGGTCACTTGGTATCTATGGTTAATAATAATGTACTGTATATTTCAAAATGGCTAAGAGTGGATTTTAAACAGTCTCACCACAAAGAAATAATAAGGATATGAGGTGATGGATATGCTAATTAGCCTAATTGGCTTATTCCACCATGTGTGCAGGTATTAAAACATCACATGGTAGCCAGACAAGGTGTCACAAGCCTGTAATCCCAGCACTTCGGGAGGCTGAGGCAGGAGGACCACGAGTTCAAAGCCAGCCTCAGCAATTTAGCAGGTCCTAAGCAACTCAGAAAGACCCTGTCTCTAAATAAAACACAAAAAAAGCTGGGATGTGACTCAGTGGTTGAGTGCCCCTGAGTTCAATCTCTAGTACAAAAAAAAAGAAAAACCCCACATTGTACTCTATACATAAATACAATTATTATTCATCAATTAAAATAACAATACAAAATTTTAAATGTCACCCCCCAAAAAAAACTCTGCAGTGGATTTTTCATTTCACTTAAAACAAACCCAAGGTCCTGACTCTGACCCCAGAGCCCCACTTGATCACCTCCTGCACCTCGTTGTATTCCTCTCTCCGTTGCCCTTCCTCTGCCTGCACCTCACTGGCCTTCTTTCTCTTCCTGAAGTCTGTCCTGATACCCATGCCTTCTGCCTGGCATGCTCTGCCCATCTATAATCCCAGTCACTGGGATTTCAGGTGTGGCCCTTTGCCCAATTTTGAATTGAGGTGTTTTTGTTTTTTGATTATTGTTGTTGAGTTTTAGACATTCTCTATATGTTCTGGCTATTAACTCCTTATCAGATATCTATATGTAAATATTCCCCCCACTCTATTCTTTTCACTCTGTTATTATCTTTTAGTGCACAAAATTATGAAGTTTTTATGAAGTCTAATTTGTCATTTTTTTTCTTTTGCTTCCACTGCTTATTTCTTGCATGATTTTCTTTTTTTAAATAAATACCCTACAGAGACTTTTAAAGGAAAATAATTTGAGGAGTGACTGAAAATATGTATGTTTTTTTTTAAAAAAAAATGTAAGCAAGCCCAAATCAAACTTAAAGGTTTTAGAGATATATGTTGTAAAGATATAAGTTCTATACATTCTTCCAAATAATTACTGAGCCACTTTTCTTAAAAGATACATGATTTAATTTTGCCTGGGATAATTAATACAGTGTTTTCTTTTGCCATAATTATCATTGTATCCAGGTACCCAAAATTTTACTTTCAACACTTGAGAGAATATCTGCATATTTTTACTCACTAGAAGAACATCTATGTTTATTGTATGTATGTGTACACACATAAGCATATGTATATGGTGTTCTTATGTCACTATGAAATTCAGACTTAATCTTTCAAGGCTGCATACTAGTAAAATCACTTTTTCTCAGCCAGTCTTTCTCTTCCATCAACTTGTAAAATGGGAATGAAGCAAAACAATACAACAAAAAAATGTGTTGTTGTTGTTGCAGTATTGGGAATTGAACTCAGGGATGCTCTGCCACTGATCTACACCGAGTCCTTTTTATTTTTTGTTCTGAGACAGGGTCTCTAAGTTGCCCAAGCTAGCCTTAAACTAGTAATCCTGATACTCCAGAGTAGTTGGAATGTCAGGTGTACACCACGATGCCTGGTAGAAATTAACAAAATTTAAGAAAAATACATTTTCATGCTGTTTGAGTAACAAACTTATTGTTCCTTCTTCACTTCGGCAGATAAAGGCTGGTGGTGGGAGAATATGATTGCTGCCCTTTTTGAGAGATACTCTCCAGTCAGCTGGCTTATCCGCACTGTGAGTATGTTTATTGTTGAGCCCACCTCACACTAACTTCATCTTCTAGACCACTGTGTTCTTGTTGCGATGTTCTATGTCACTTAGAAATACTGCTTTTAATGTAAAAAGGTGCTGAAAAGAATCAGAACTTAAATGTTTGCAAACTGCACTTAAAACCTTTAAATAATAAGTATCAAAGGTAAACAAAGCCAGGCCCTAATTAAAGTAGCAATTGGAGGTTTTAATCAGTAATATACTACAATTAGAATAAGGACTTGGATTTGAGCAGAGGTGGTCGGCTATTTTAAAGGAAGAATGAGGGAATAGAAAAGGAGTTGAATAGAGGCTTAGTAGAGTCAGGGAAGGGAAGAATTCTGAGTGGAAAGGAGGGGTTGCCCATGTGAAACCCATCTGGGTTTGCTAACTGGCCTTATGGAAATTGGGCTCCTATCCTCCCACTAAGGCTGGGAGATAGAATACTATTTTCAGGTGTTGGCTGGAATGAATTTTTTTGATGACCTTGAGTGTCCTCAGACAGGCTAGCAGGGAGGGTCATCTTAGGGATACAGCCTTGAGCTGATAGAAACGGCTAGTGTTTGTATCTCTTGATAGGCCAAGGTTAGGGCAAGTAGAAGAGGACTTAGAGGAGCCCAGCTAGAGTTTGTTCAGGAGAGAATCTTTATCATAGGCTAGAATTTTGCACAATATAAGAGATTAATTTAGGTTCTTCTATGAAGAACCTTATTCTTTCTTTACCTTTGATACTTTATTATTTATTTTACACTCCTTTTAGAATCTCCTTTACAAATATCTGAATTAATGAATCAAATGCATTACAATTAGCTTCACATACCACTAAAGGAACATATGCTTTATACAAGTCTATTAAATGAGCAGCTTCCAGGCCATATAAACTTTATTTTGACTATAGAAGGCCCACTTTAGGGAGCACATCTCTGGTATCAGGATCTGGCCCTGTCCAGCTTTGCCTTTCTGACCTTTCCTCACTTTGCTCTAAATCATCTGCCCACTTCCTGCCTCTCCCTGACCTCTCGCATTTCTCTTCGACTTGTTGCTGGAGCACTCCCTAAAGATGCTGTAAAACTATGCATTCATCACAAATAAACTTCTATTCTTCCCTTCCAACCCCCGCTTATTGCATGTTAGCATCCGCATATCAGAGAAAACATTTGGCCTTTGGTTTTTGGGGGGATTGGCTTATTTCACTTAGCATGATATTCTCCAGTTCCATCCATTTACTGGCAAATGCCATAATTTCATTCTTCTTTATGGCTGAGTAATATTATTTTGTTTATATATATATATCACATTTTTCTTTAGTGATTCATCCATTGAAGGGCACCTAGGTTGGTTCCACAGCTTAGCTACTGTGAATTGGGCCGCTACAAACATTGCTGTGACCATGTCATTATAGTATGCTGATTTTAAGTCCTTTAGGTATACGCTCAGGAATGGAATAACTGGGTCAAATGGTGGTTCCATTCCAAGTTTTCTGAGGAATCTCCGTACTGCTTTCCAGAGTGGTTGCCCCAATTTTCAGTCCCACTAGCAATGGATGTTCTTTTACTTTAATGTATCACCCTCTCAGGGCCTAGCACATGATGCCTGATACCCTCCACCCCCTCACCCCGGCCTTCCTTTGAAATATCCATGGAAGCCTCCATAGTTCTGTAACTCTTGTATTCTGCATTCCCACAAAACCAGAACTAAGTGGAAAATGCCAACGTTTGCTGTCAGCAAGAGCCAGGCTTTCATGGACCACGGCTACAGTGGCCTCTAAGTGCATGGTGAAATGAATTCTGGGGAAACAAGGTCATACATAGGCAGTCCTACGAGAGCAGGACATCCTCTGTTGTTGTTGAGATGTCTTCAAAACAAGGCATCTTTTCTGATGTCTCTATGCCTAGCGCATGGCTTCTGTTTAATGGTGCTAATATCTCCAGCAACCACAACTCCCTTGGCCCCAATTTTACATGTGCTTTTCTTGTCAAACTAAATTTTTTTTCAGATCTTTCTGTTCCGCTTCTTGCTTCTGATTCAGACTTTATACTTGGCTAAAAGCCACTGCCTGAATGCTGTGTTGCCATGAAATTTCCTCCAACAGATTAATTAGTCCATCACCTTTAAATTCAGCTCATACAAAATCTCACAGCATGTACAAAATTAGACAAGTTCTTTGCCAGGATGTAATAAAAATGGCCTCTAGCTCAATTCTCAACAAAGTTCTCATTCTCATCTGAAACCTCGTGACTACAGTCTTCACTCTCTGCATTTATTTCAGACTTCTGGTCTTCTGAACTCACATCAGAAATATTCATTAAGCTCAGCTTACAATATTCTAGGGATTTCCTAGCCTGTATTGCCAAACTTTTCCAAATGCCTCTCCATTCCAAAAGCCAGGTATAGGAATAGCCTCAACCCCACTTCTCCGAGTTAATTTCTGTTTTAGTCAGCTTTTCATTGCTGAACCAAAATACCCAACAAAAACAAGTCAGAGCCTTTATAATTCAACCACTTCCCCAAATTCTCGCCTCTGAACACTGTTTCATTGTGGACCACACCTTCAACACACGAGCCTTTGGGGGGGTGCTTCATATCCAAACCATAAATTCCCCATTTCCTCCATTTCCTGAAATAGATAAAGCACTTGTTTTCTCTGACTTTGTCACTTGAGTGAAATAAGTCACTATGCCTTCAATATTTCTTATTGATGTTCTTTTGCTTTGTTCACACAGAGCTCTCTGTAAGAAGCAATGCATTATTTAATAATAGTTGGATGATGATATAGTTGGGTGTTTGATATAATCAAACAAATATCCCATTACTCCAACCAAATCACTTTGTCATTTTTCTCAGTTCAGAACAAACCAATGCAAATCAAAATACCCCTCACAGCAGTATGTAAAGACAGGGTGATTTATGGGTGCTGAAGGATGGAACATTTGCAGATACCAATATTTTGAATTATTCTTTTTATTTTATTTTATTTTATTGAACTTGGGGTACTCAATCACTGAGCCACATCCGTAGCCCTATTTTGTATTTTATTTAGAGATAGCGTCTCACTGAGTTGTTAGCACCTTGCCATTGCTGAGGCTGGCTTTGAACTTGTGATTTTCCTGTCCTGTCTTAGTCTCCAGAGCTGCCACCACACCCGACTTTGAATTGTTCTTTTATTTGACCCTATCCCCACCCAAACCCTTAACAGTGTGTCTTGACAATATTCAAGATGAGTTAGCCTAAAATGTACTACTCTCAAAAAATTAATTATGAAGGTGCAGGCAGAAAGAACAGGCCTTCTACTGCAGAATGTTCCTGAGCAGATCAGCTCAGAAGGAGCACCCATGGAAGCTGAGGATTTTGAAAGATTCCCTTAACTGCCCATGCTACAGAACTTTGGAAGTCTTCATGGACCCTCAGGGGTGTCAGAACAGCAGTTAAGCTCTCCATTCATATGTGTTCTTTTATCTCAAGCCTTTGCTATAAGTCCATTGAACTAGAACTTTCTACCCCACTCCCTGTCCTCTTTCTGCAACCACCACTTTCATAATTGAGTTCAGCTCCTGTGACGCTTCCATGGGATGCCATTTCTACTGCCCTGGGAGAGGATGGGCTCCCTGCTATGACTTCTGCCACTTTGCCTTCTCCAGTGCTAACACTTACTGTTCTGTGTCCCCATTGCCTAGTTGACTTTTCTGTCTTCCTTGGAAATTTGGGAAGAAAAAGAACCAGGTCACTCATATGCACTGCTCCAGCCTGGCTCCTGCACAGTGCCTAGCCACCAGTAGGTACTCAAGAAATGCCCTTGAAAGAACAAATGAAGGGAGAAACACAAGGCATCTGTTGAGACTGAGATCTGCCTGGAAAGCACCCAGCTTGTGTTTGGTGAACGAGGTGTGGGACCTGCAACAGTTTTGTCCTTTCATGAGGAATTCTTGCTGATTTTGGCTCCCACTGCAGCTGAGGTTTCTTCCATCTGAGGAAGATAAGTTAGAGTAGTTCTATGGCTCAATATATCAGGAGAAAGTGCTTTGGATCATTTTTGTTCATCGTTGGGTGTGGACCATTCCCTTGGATGATGTTGCCTCTGCTGGTTTGTCTTTTTGTTCAGACGCTGAGTGAGTCGGAAAACTTTGAAGCAGCCGTTTACAAGTTGGCCAAGACTCCCCTCATTGCTGATGTCTATTACATCGTTGGTGGTACATCCCCCCAGGAGGGAGTGGTCATCACCAGGAACAGAGGTGGCCCAGAAGACATTTGGCCTCTAGATCCTTTGAATGGAGAGTGAGTTGAATTAAAGACTCTGGTCATTTTGTATCAAATCTTTCTTTTTAATTTGGTAAAACTGGGGTATTTTTATTTTTTAATATTTCTTCTATAATTATATCTCAACAACCTTGGATAAGACAAGATAATGTGCTCTGTTGTAGGTGGTTCCGAGTTGAGACAAATTATGACCACTGGAAGCCAGCACCCAAGAGAGATGACCGGAGGTAGCCTTCCATATGCTTTCTGGTTGGCCATGTTTTTTTGTGGTCAAGAGAATATCCCCTTCCTGCCCCAGGGACTGGAGAGACCTACAGGTGTTGTCCCCTCCTAGAGAGTGTACTCACCCCCTCACCAGTGTCTTGACCAGGGTGGGGAGTACAGTGTGTGGAGGAGAGTCATGGTGAGGGCCTTTTGGTAGTTGCTGGGGTTGGAAAGGATGAAGTTGGCGCTGGCCTAATGGCTAGAATCCCTGAAGCTCACCACCAACCTCACTAATAACTCTTTGTGTGGCCTCTTGGATCTCTGTTCACCCATCTGTAAATAAAAGGACAAGGCCAGACTCATGAACTTCAGTGTAGTTGGGGGTTTTATTGTCCCTTCTAATTGTGAAAATTCTATCACTCATTGTGGCTGCTAAAAACAGATGACTGTATATTATTCACTTGCCTTTACTATCCCAAATTTGGTAGCAAAAATTTAATTCTGAAACTTCCTTGAGCATAGGAGCCAACAGGACCAACAGTTGAATGAGTCCCATCATGGTGGTGTGAGCCAACGCAGCTAATAGGCTTGGGGGCCACAGTCTGTTTTGACATAGGGGAGATAATGAGACAGGGCCCTGGATGTGTAAAAGAGAATAAAGGCTGATGGGATTCAGAGTTTCCTAAAGTACCTAGTGACCTTTGACGGTTGTCCTTGCAGAACACCTGCCATCAAAGCCCTTAATGCTACAGGACCAGAAAACATCAACCTGGAGACACTTTTCAAGGTAACTTGTGTCCTGATGTCCGGTTTACCCAGGATGTTTGGTGAAAAAAGAAATTCTCTGAAATCAAACAAATGTAGTAGATGAAAAAGTTATAGTGACAGTTCTACCTAGTTAAAAACTTTTTAAAAAGTTACATGACATTTATTGAGCTTTTTTCTGTATAGGTTAAAATTCCACCTTCACCTAAGTTTTTATTCACATTAAAAGTACACAGACATAGTTGTAATATATGTTTATTGTTTAAAAGAAAAAAAAGAGCAAGGATTAAAAGGTTAATAACTATAGCCTTGAGATACACTAAAGGGTTAAACGGTTATATTCTTCCTATAGATATTCTACATGTACTTCTTCTACCTTTTCATGTTTTTGTAATTTTTTTTTTCTGTGCAGGTTTTGTCAGTGGTTCCAGTTTATAACAAGTAAGTTAAGCACATCTGTTCATCTGTCACCTCAGAACAGTGACTTCACTCACCCACTGTGGCTCCCCAGGCATGTGACGGCTCCTGGGGTCAGACACCATAGGTGTTGTCAGTTCAGCAGTGGACAGAACGGTCTCCACTCTCAGGGGACTAACATTCTGCGTGGGGAGTGGGGTAGATAAACAAATACACCACGAGTCAGATGAGAAATTCATGCCAAAACTAAAGGTGAGGAGGACAGAAGATGGAGAAGGAGGAAGGCAGTGACATCTTCACCCTGATTCAGTCTGGTGGCTGTGGGCAGTTTTCACTGGGGATGAGCTCCTTAACATCACTTCATTAGAACTAGACTTTTAGCACCTTTGGTGTTCTTTATCTTCCTGGAAGTTTCCACTACCTCCACCCCCATGTTGTTCCTCATTCTACACCCAATTTAGTAAGAATAATTCCTTTAGCCTGCACCCTTGAAGGTAGCATTGTGTGAGCTGTGGTTTCTCTGGACTATAATTTAGGCAAAGCTCTAGGCCAAATTAGCTCTTATCTCAGTTTGGGAGGCAACTGCACCAAATCTGTTGGGGGAAACTCTGAAGGTCCATTATCACCACCATCAGCCCCGCTCCTTGTCATCCCCCTCAGGGGAACAACTGAGGAAGGGGACTCAACCCTAACTGCCTTATTCACACCCAAAACTACCTCATTAGGAATGTGGGCACCTTCTTATGCTTAGTGGGGCAGAACTGAACTTATTAAAATAAATGAGGAAGTACCTGCAAGCAAAGATAGTTATCTCCTTCCTTTACTTCAATAAACTCCAAACAGCATTTCCTACTTTCTCATCTCTGCTTTCTCCACAGCAATAATATCAAACTGTATTCTTCGATAAATAACCTAGTCAAGTAAAACTTTAAACATCCAGTAGAAGCCAGGTATTGTGGCACATATCTGTAATCCCAGATACTAAGGAGGCTGAGGCAAGAGGATCCCAAGTTTGAGACCAGCCTGGACAATTTAGCAATATGGAAGGGCACTTGCTTAGCACATATGAGGCCCTGGGTTTAATCCCCACTATTGCCAAAAAAACCCAATCAAATACCCTGTGGATTTTTTTTCTTTTGCATTTTATCTGCGTGCTTTAAGATTCCTGAGTATAAAGATTTTCTCAAAGCTGTTATTTTGCACCATAATAGAAATCTATCTCCAAAATACTTCTTTGGAAGTCTTTTCATTAAGTAGGACTGATACAAAGATTAACACTTAAGAATTTATTTCATAATTTTCTAATAGCCAACATAGAAAACAAATTAATCAGTATTCTACCACCATTATGTAGCCATTTAAAATTTTGAAGGCTATTCAAAGCATGGACTATTTAAATAAATATAGTAATTATTTTATTACAAAACTAATTTTAAAAATATAGTCATTACTTATGTAACTACTTTAAAAACTATAAGAACACAGAAATAGTTTCTTAACCCTTTAATTTATTTTTATTATTTATTTATTTGTTTATATTTGGTACCAGGGATTGAACCCAGTGGCTCTTAACCACTGAGCCACATCCCCAACTCTTTTTATTTTTTATTTTGAGAAAAGGTCTCACTAAGTTGCTTAGGGCTTCACTAAATTGCTGAGATTGTCTTTGAACTTATGATCCTCCTGCCTCAGTCTCCTGATCTGCTGGGATTACAGGCATTTGCCACAGTGCCTGGCCTTTCTTTAATTTCTTTGTGTTCTTAAATTTTAAAAATTTTTTGGTACAGGGGATTGAACCCAATGGCACTTTACCACTGAGCTACAATCCAAGTCTGTCTTTATAATAATTTGAGACTCTTGCTAAATAGCTGAGGCTGGCCTTAAACTGGGATCCTATAGCCTCACCCTGCCCAGTCACTAGGATTACAGGCACGTGCCAACACACCCAGCAACCCCTCATTTTAAAAATAAATATTCTAACAAATAAGCTATTTGGATAAAGAACCACCCCCAATGCCCCCAATGGTCTGTTTATAAATTAGCTCTTTGGGGTAGGGGAGAAAAACAAATAATTTCCCTGATTTTTAGCATTTGTCAATTTCCTGTTGTAAATACAGGTAAAGTAGCCCTTATTCAACATGCCTGGGACCAAAAGTGTTTCAGATTTCACAGTGTTTTCTGTTTTGAAATATTTTCATGCACTTTACCAGTGAAACATTTCTAATCTGAAAATCTGAAACATTCCAAAATCCAAAACCTTTTGAGGGCCGACGTAGTGCTCAAAATGTTTTGGATTTCAAAGCATTTTATATTTTGGATTTTGGATGCTCAACCTGAACTTTCACCATGGCTGATTTGAAGCTTTCAGTTGGTTCATGAATTACCTATATATTTGACAATTGCTCTCACTAGCCTGTAGGAGCCAGCTCTAACACTTTATTGGCTGTTTCCTAGGATATAATTTTGCTCTTCTAATATTCATTTTAAAAATAGAGTTTAAAAACTAAGCTTGGGGCTGGGGATGTGGCTCAAGCGGTGACGTGCTCACCTGGCATGTGCGGGGCGCTGGGTTCAATCCTCAACACCATATAAAAATAAAATAAAGATGATATGTCCACCAAAAACTGAAAAATAAATATTAAATTATCTCTCTCTCTTCTCTTTCTCTCTCTCTTTAAAACAAAACAAAACAAAACAAAAAAAACTGGGCATGGTGTACATGCATGCTAGTAGCCCTAGATGCTAGGGAGGCTGAGGCAGGAGAATCCTTTGAGCCAAGGAGTTTGAGGCCAACCTGGGCAATTTAGGGAGACCTTGTCTCAAAAAATTAAAAGGGATGGGGATATAGTTCAGAGGTAGAGTGCTTGGCCAGCATGTGAGAGACCCTGGGTTGGAATCCCAGCATTACAAAATAGGGGTTAAAAATTATCTTAGTGTTCTTACAGTTTTTGAAAGTAATTACATAAATGATTACTTTATTTTAAATTAGTTTTATAATTAAGCATTTAGTATATTTATTTTAATAAAAGAAAGCAATTTCTATGCTTTGAATATCCCTCGTATTTTTAAATGCTGCACGATGCTTAATTGTATGCATTATAATGAAATTAATCTTTTTCCACTTACTAGTTTTTCCTCCATTAAAACAGAAATAAACGTATATGTATCTCACACACCCGCTACTTTTGGATTTTTTGAATTATTTCCATTGGCTGAATTGCCAGAAGTAGGGTTACTGAGTTACAGGCTCTGACTATTTAAATCCTTTCTGAAATGTTTGTCAAAATAAAATTGTTAGAAGTTATAAGTAGTTTACTAAGTAACATTTTTCTCTATTGTGTAATCAAAAACCCAAGAGGAAATTTAAATTTAAATGACAGTCCTCACTGAACCAGAATGAACGCGCGCAGCATTCTAACTCTCAGGCCCTTTTCATGTAATGATTAACCCCATCTGGGCTTGTTGAGTGTGTGAGGTCAGTAGACATGTCAGAACATACCAGATTAGCTCTATGTTGCCCCCTTGTGCCGTACTCAAAAGTTAAGCCTGCTGGCAACAGAATGTTCTCTGTGGCCATCAGCAGAGAAAGCATTAATATAGAGACCTGGGTGTGGTGGTGCACACCTGAAATCTCAGCTACTCTGTCTGAGGTGGGAGGTTTGCAAGTTCAAGGCTAGCCTGTGCAATTTAGTGGTACCTTGTCTCAAAATTTGAAAAAATAAAAAAGGACTAGGGATGTAGCTCTGTCCTGAGGGTAGTGGTAGGGAAGTGATAGAGAATAGACCTATGACTAAAGTAAGCAAGCATCTGAGGTCCTGTTCAGGGGACCCCTGATACCCTTGGTCAAGCTCTAAGCATGCTCACAGTGCTGTCTTCAGCTGGCTCTGTGATTCAGCTGTGGTGCTCAGTGCCAGATTCTGCCTGTTCCTGAACAACCCAGTTCCAGTTGCTTTGACCATGTGCCCCAGCTGCTTTCTAACACAAGCAATGGAAGAAGAGAGTGAAGGAATGGACCTTAGCATGGGTGCATATGTGCTTGTGTTGTTCTCTTGCTTTACAGAATGTGGAATAAATGACATTGGAACTTTTTTTCCTTAGTTCTGGGCAAAAGGGGCATCTACCTTGATCCCTGAGATTTTGAGGCTCTACTCTGGCTATCCTCTGGATGTGATCTTCCCATGATATAAGGAATGTCCTGGGTCAGGTGTCCACCCAGAATCTGCCCCAGGACTCAGTACCCTAGGATTCCCTGAAAAGCCCAAGCCCATTTCTGGGGTCCAGGTGTCCTCTTTCTTGGAATCCGTCTCCTGATGGTGGTGAGCAGCCATTGTGGACACCCTGTCCTTATAGAAGCCAAGAAATAGCTGCTTAGTGGGGGATATAGATGAAGCTTAGATGTCTGAGGTGTCTTATATGTGCAAGGAAGTCCCCTTGTGGGGTAGGACAGAGCCAGGGTCAGGGCCAAAGGGTAGCTGACTCTCACTGCCATAGCAATAGAGCTTTAATGAATCTGAGAATTTTACATTCAACTTGGTCTTCCACAGTGTTGTCAAAGAAGAGGAAAGAACGTTTTGACCTTTTGATTTATACATTTTAAAACATTCTGACATATATGAACTTCTATTTGTATTCTTGTCCCAGATCTCAGTGTTAGGGAAGGGCTTGATATTTTTTCCCTGTCTTTAGCATATTAGAGGAAATGATGTCTATATAAAAATTTCTCTTGTTATTTCAGCTATACAGTTTATACTACAGTAATGAGTGCTGCCAACCCAGAAAAGTACAAAACGAGCATCAGAAACATGAGCTGAACGTAAGTAAGCTGAAGAGTGAATTTGTCCATTTCAAATATGACAATTTGAAAGAATTGTCATAGCTGTTGATATTGGGGTGGGATGAGAGGTGGGTATGTGCTGGTATTTCTCATGAAAGATAGTGATACTTAAGATTTATATGTACATAGTATTTTCTGACAAGCATTTGGCATATGATTGACATCATTAGGTATTTTATTTTGAATTGTTTGAATTGAATGAAACTGAAATCTTCCAGTGCCCTGTGCCTCTTTACCTCTAAATATACCCTTTTCTCAAGACAAGATATTATCTCTTCACACACACAGAGGAGTAAATATCTGGGAAGACTAATGTGTCCCCAGAATAATAGTGAGGCGCAGCACCTTCATAGCATTGGAAGACAGATTCTGAAGGCAAAGGACACTTCCAGAATTTATTCCAGGTACTGGTGAGTCCATAGGTAAGGAGAAGGACATTAAGGAGAAAGCAAGAGTCTCCTTCCTGCTACCCCTGAAATCAAACCAGGGCAGTGCCATTCTAATTGCAAGAATCATCTGAAGTTTGTAAACCTGGCCTGATGTTTTGGTCACTGATTTATCTTGGGAATGTTCAAAATCACTGTTTGAATTAAATGCATTTATTTTTTTTCTTCTGTTACAGATTTTTTAAAAAATGAAATTCTTGAAGAACTGCACTTAAAAAAAAGACAAAGTGGAAGTATTTTATTATTTTATGAACAATACAGACTCCTTCCTCATTATACTTTTCAACCTTATGAAATGGGGGTCAGGCGTCACTTCGGTGGCATTTTGATGGAATGGGTAATAGCATTGTTTTGCATTCTCTTCTCTTCCTCGTCATCTTGATTTTTTTTTTTAAGCTTCTACTCTGGCTTTATTCCCAGCTTCTCATGATTCTGTTATCATATCTCTGCTTATCCCCTAAAGAAGTCAGCTAGAATTACCTCTTTGTTCATTATGAAGTGCTTCTAGAAGAGCCCAGTTAAAAATTTCTTCTAAGGCTTAAATAGGTCAGGGTCAGTTGTAGAACTGTACATGCATGAGGGCCCAGATTCTATCTCCAACACCACACACACACACACACACAGGCAGAAGGATTTCTTTAAAAAAAAAAAAATGGAGAGCTCTATTTTGAATAGAGCCTGTTTGAAGGTGTGTTCATGGAACCTTTGGTTGTATATTTCCATGTGATGGGATTCTCACTTTTTATATTTCTAATGTTTTTACTTCAACCAGTGGACCTTCTTTTTTTCTAAATAATTTCTTACCACTTTTTAAGGGGAGTATGAAATCAAGTCATTTTTAATAGTTACTTATCATTTGTTAATAAAATGTTGGAAGAGATGTTGGCAAGGAGAATAAAACTGTTTTTCAAGATACCAAGTGTTGTGTCCTCTGTGCTTTCTTACCCCAGGGGTCAAAGGGATTTAAACAGCTGTCCTGAGAAGCAGCTCTCCTAGTTGTGATGTTTTGTTTACAAGTTTCAGGATTTAAGGGAGTGAACAGCTGTTTTGTAGGATTTGATTCCCCCCATCCCCCCCCATGTACATGAAAGAAACTTCTTTGAGGGTGAAGTCACAGAAGATTAAAATCATGAACAAAGGAATTTTGACTGGATATTCTTGTTTAGTGTTTTAGCCGAATGAAGGAAGATAAATGTCTAGAAGGCAGTGTTACCTGGTCACAGAGGACCTCTACCCCTCTGCATGGCACACCTATCCAGTGGCCTGTAATAGTCATAGTTCTTCTTGGATAGTGTTATTCAATTTCCATCATAAAAGGCTTTCTTTAAATAAAATATCAGAGATAGTTTACTCATGCCAGATATATCACACTGTCATTGAGACTAGAAATTTTCACTAATTTATTTCATTCCATTCCTGTTTTCTTGAAAATATATTATGATCTTTGGATGGAAATTTGGAGAAAACCCTAATTTTAACCAGGCAAGGTCATGCTATTGAGGATTCTCAGCAGGAGAGCAATCTCTGGTTGTTCTTCAGATGTCTGTCCTTTGTATTGTGTGGTTTGACTACCATGCATCTGGATATAGACTGGATTTTATTTAGCCTGTTAGGAATTTGTTGTGGTATACAAATTTCAAATGTATGCCTTTTATTATTCAGTTTTGGTTAATTGTCAGTTATCTAAGACTTGCTCTCCTACATTCTCTCTTCTTCTGAACTCCAAGTATATTGAAAAAGTTCAGAACACATCACTCAAATTATGCCATTTTAGGATAAGGGTTATTTTAAGCTAAAGGCACCTGAAAAACCAGCAGATAGAAGGTTGTTCTGACCCTCCCCTTTTCCTCCTTGAAAGCAGGAGAGAAAACCTTGTGTGGAAGATGTCCTCCCTATCTCAGGAGGAAGGCAACAATCTTAGGAAGGACAGGCAGTAGAAGCAAGATAATTCTGTACAAACAAACCTTATTAAACTAACCTTTATCTTCCTATTAACTTCCCCACCCAGTTAATTCCCCTATTCTGAGCCCCTGTGCCTTGTCATGCTTTCGCAATTTACTGTTCTTTGTCCAGCTTGCTCCTCAACTTAGAATGGGTTACAATATGTGAGGTGCATTTGTTACAGTATGTGAGGTGCTCTTCAAGTTAGAATGGGGTTACATCCAAAGAAAAAAAAAATCATAAGTTGAAAATATTCTAAGTAAAAATTGCATTTAATACAGCCACCTTTCAGCCATCACAGGAAACAATACAATACACAATACATTGTTTCCTCCTCATGATTGTGTGACTGATTGGGAGACATAGCTTACTGGAGATGGGAAGCAGGTGAGAATCATACATCAAAATTCAAAGTTTGAAGTCTTTTTTTTTTCCTGAATGTGTATTGCTTTTGCCCCATGATAAGGTCAAAAAATATAAGTTGAACCAAGGTTGAGTTGGGGCCATCTGTATAGTAAAACAAATAAAGAATTAAAATGTCTTGAAAGATATAAATACAATCTAAATGTCCATCCATGGATGAATGGATAAAAGAAATAGGATGTGTACATACAATGGAATATTCCTCCTTTTAAAGAGAGGGAGATGATACTACAGAGGAGAAAAAAATATCAACATCTCTACCCATTTTAGGTTCTTGGATTGGAGTCCTGCAAATTAGACTAATAAAGACAGGTTAACAAACCAAAAAAACAATTTTCTTAACGTGTTTCATACTAATAACATGCCGGAGCACCCAGAGATGAGTAACTCAAAGGTTTGGTTAGAGCATGAGTTAATATAGCTTCTAAGCAAAGAAACTTCTTAGCAAAGTGTTTATAGAAGTGACAAAAGAAAAGGACCCTGAATCTCTAGGGTGGCAAACGGTTGGAAGGTGTAACTGAAACTAGTGATAGATAAAGGCTAACTAGTCAAGTTTTGTTAGTAGATTTCTCTGCTGCCCTAGAGTTTTCTCCTGTGAGTAAGCTTATCTTTACAGATAAAGAAGGGAAGAGAGACACTGTTGTAAACTTATGTCCTCCCTATATCAGGAAGACAGGCAAATAGGGAGAGGGCAAAGAGCTTTTCCTATTTTTGCTGCTTTCTAATTGCCTTTTACTCAAAATAATTCTTATCAAAGAGGCTTATTTTGGGTGACATTTGTTACAATATGTGATAACATGGATGAAACTTGTAGACATTAGGCTAAATGACAAAAGACAGATGCACAAATACTGTATGATTTCACTTACGAGGAGTATCTCAAATAGTGTCAGAAGCAGAGAGTAGCACCGAGGTTTTAGGGGTTGAGCGGTATGAAAAATGGGCAGTTGCTATTCAACCAGTATAAATCAGTTTTGCAAGGTGGGGGATTTCTAGAAATCTGCTGTATCAAATCATGCCTATAGTTAATGCTATTGTATGGTACACTTAAAAATCTAAGAATATAAGCCAGGCATGATGGCATGTGCCTATTTCCCAGCTACTGGGAGATTGAGGCAGGAGGATCCCTTGAGCTCAGGAGCTCAGGTTGAGGGCAGCCTGGGCAACATAGCGAGATTCCATCTCAACAACAACAATAACCCAAAACCCTAAGAGGTAGATCTCCTGTTGTATTCTTACCATGATAAATCAAAAATAAGAGAAGAAAAAAAAATAAGAAGAGAAATTTAAATAATTTGGCCTACAGTAGTTGCATGGAAGATGGAGAGTTGATGTTTTTAAAAATAGCCTTTTTAAAAAGTATACAAGTAAAATAAACCAAACAGTACATATTGTAATCTTCTGCCTCTCTTCCCATCTTGTAGCTAATACTCCCTCCAGACCGTATTCATCAAGACAGTTTTTAATATGTCAATCAATTGATGCTCTGAGAGCATAAAAGTAAGAGGATTTTATTTGGGGTTTTATGAATTAAGATTCAAGAGAATTTCAGATAGCACTGAATGAATGTTCCAAAGGTGACAGGGGAAGTAGGAGCTTATATAGGCAAGCAGTGCTGATTTATTGCAAAGTGGTAAAAATTCTCTCGTAGGAAACTTCTGTTGAAGTAGAGAAAGAACAGGAGCTATGGGGTAGGGATTATGTAACCAATCAAATCTAGCAAAAAGAATGCATTATGTAGTAAAAATATTCATAAAACAAGAGTCCAATAGTCCTTTGACACACATCTTGAATCTCTACGCATGATGTGATTATCCTGGTCATTACAGATGCCTGCAGTCAAGGGGTAAAGGTGACTAAATATTCACATTCCTAGGCAGAAGCTCGAGAAATGATAAGTCATATTCCCTTGAGGGCTTCCTGACTCCATGTTGAAAAGCTCTTTCAGTGTTGCGTCTGCTGTGATTTTCATTTTATTTTCACAATGCATATATCTTTTAAATTTTAGATTTTATATTTATTTAGGTATGGTGAGGCCAACAGATATGAGAAAGTTGCCATTGAAATTAAAACAGTTACCAAGAGGAGGGGCCATGCATGGCCACAGTGGAGAACACTGAAGTGGGTCACAGGCAGAGAAAGAGACAGGAACAAAGGACAAGACGCTCTCTATAGGAAAGGAATGGTTAAGACAGGGTAAGCATAGTGCCTCACACATGCTAGGCAAGTGCTCTACCACTGAGCCACAACCCCAGCCTGAAAAATTGTGTTCTATATGTGTAATGAGAATTGTGATGCATTCTGCTGTCATGTATTTAAAAAATAAAAGCAAAAAAAAAAAAAGAGAGACAGGATAAGCAGGCTATACAGGTTTGGGACGGGCTAGTTGGAATAATTTCAGCAGATTCCTGAGTGTAGGGACTACTCCTAGTTTTTTGATATCTGGTTTGGGATAGTTTTCTTTTGGAATCAGCTAACCATGGGAGGGATACCTCCCTCTGGTCAGCAAGGCCCAAAGATGTCAAGGCATCAATATAGATTCTATACCTAGGAAGACCCCAAAAATGCCACCAGAAAACTTCTAGAACTAATAAATGAATTCAGCAAAGTAGTAGGATATAAAATCAACACCCATAAATCAAAGGCATTTCTGTACATCAGTGACAAATCCTCTGAAAGAGAAACTAGGAAAACTACCCCATTTACAATAGCCTCAAAATAAACAAATAAATAAAATACTTAGGAATCACCTTAATGAAAGAGGTGAAAGACCTACAGTGAAAACTATAGAACACTAAAGAAAGAAATTAAAGAAGACCTTAGAAGATGGAAAGATCTCCTTTATTCTTGGATACACAGAATTAATATTGTCAAAATAACCATACTACCAAAAGCAATATATGGATTTAATGCAATCCCAATCAAAATCCCAATGGGGACATTGCTCAAAGAAATAGGAAAAGCCATCATGAAATTCATCTGGAAAAATAAGAGACCCAGAATAGCCAAAGCAATCCTTAGCAAGAAGAGTTAAGTAGGTGGCATTACTATATCAGATCTTAAACTATACTACAGAGCAATAATAACAAACATGGCATGGTATTGGCACCAAAATAGACTTGTTGACCAATGGTACAGAATAGAGAACACAGAGACAAACCCACATAAGTACAGTTTTCTCATACTAGACTGTGGGATCACTCTGTCCAGCTGAAGCTCACCTAACAGCTGAGGAGGGTGTGGTGACAGAGTTGAAAAGAGACCTCCAGAGACCAGTTTCAGAGAACTCGATCCACTTTATTATTGCTAGGCAAACCTTTTATGAATAGCCTGTTATTGCGCAAATTTGCTGAGGGTCGTAATAATCCAATGAAATAACAACACCCTTACAAATGGCAACCAGTGGGCTAATACGTCAGTGGCAAAAAAAGCAGAAGGAAGGAAACATGCTGTGCACCTGCAGGTTACCATGGTAATGGGGCTGGTCATGGTTGGTGTTCCAAACCACAAATATCTAGACTCAGTGTGCTGAACCCTGAGAGCCCCTCATATTTG